CCCCAGGGAGGTCCACTGGGGAGGCTTCGGCCCATTCGGACTCCAGCCGAACCGAAGGTGAGGTAGAACCGAAGGTAAGGCGGGGCGGAGCGAGGTGCTGCTCGTGGACCCCTGGACCGTGCCTAACCTGGGTCACTTTGGATGCTCCTCTGCCGTGCTCGGCTCGCACCGCTGCCGGGGCCGGCTGCAGCACCGGACCTGGAGCCCGGCCCGGGCCCCGAAGGTGCCCGCCCAGAGGCCGGCAGCCACCCACCTCACCTCGGCTCCAGTCAGTACACGACAGGCAGGCCCGCTCAGAAGCTCGTCGCGCCGGACCGCACCCGGACCGAGGCCGTGTAGTGCATCGCAGTGCACTCGGCGCGCAGCGCGAGCGCAGCGTCGCGGTAGCGCACCATAGGCGCAGAGCGACAGCAGCAGCCATGTTCAAGATTGCCGTCGACTGGAGGAAGGTGTACCAAGGTACGGTGTGATCTCTACCCCTGATCCAGCGAACGTCTCTGAAGCGAGAGCTTGGACATATTGCCTTTTGCCTACTTTCAGGCGGACTGTAGCACAGTTTGCCAACCGCCCAAGCGATATGTTATGGCTGCATCAGGGGCGGAGGGGGAGGTGATCCAAATCCCTCTCCCACCAAAGGTTCAATCTATATCCAATTACTAGAGATGCCACTGCCGTTCATCTCACCGCAGCATCCTCGAACACCCCCTACCCCCCCCCTCCTCCGCTCCTCTACCTGGGCACCTGGGGACGGTCTGTTTAGTAGGTCAGATTTGGGAAGAAAGGAACATGAAAGGAGAAGTTGAAAGGTAGGTAGGGAAAGAGAGATGAAGAGATGGGGAAGAACAAGGACGCGACGAAGAAGGCGGGCTGGACTATACTACGAGGAAGAAAAGGATGCACGGCAGCTCCGTGCCATGCATGTCTTCCAAACAGAAAAGGGTCCAGCATAGCGGTGTGTTATTATTTGAGCGAGACCCCCCCTCCTCCATCCTCCCCCCTCCTCCATCCCCTCCCTCCCTCAACCCACCTTACCGACCTTTTACCTGGGACTCAGCTACTCCTGTTGGCTAGGACTAGAGCCCTTGCTCCTTCAACGCAAACGCATCACCCCGCGGTCACGAAAGGGGCGTATACATAGCGCACGGCGTCCAGAGCGCTGAAAGAGAAAGCGGAGTTGTTCGTAAGTACGTCACAGGGGGTGGGCCCCGGGGGGACGCCCACTCAAAGACTCCCCCCAAACTCTCAGAGGGTGCTTTAACTAGGCGCTCTGCAGTGACGTCACGAGCCGTCACGGCTGCGTCACGGGTCGGGGCCGGGTGAGTGAGGTGCACTCACATGTTTGCCCGTTCAGCGACCCTCCGGTGCCCCCCGGCCGCTGGTCGCCCCCGAGGCCGGCCTGGCCGAGCCAGAAAAACACGTCGAGAACAAGAAGAAGCCCGTATGGCGATGTGTGACGCGCAAAGAAGCGCCTCCGGTCGCGAGGACGTTGGCAAATGCTGCTTGGATGAGGGCAGTACCCCCGCCCCCTCCCCCACCCGCCTCACCTTCACCGACGAACCGCGGGGGCGAGTCTGTCGGGTCCTGCCAGGTCCCAGCGCCATGACCACAAGGTGGCCACAACCTGGCTCGAGCCCCGCGGTCCGTTCCCCCGCTCGTTTTCAGCAATATTTTGTTCTCTGCTGGACCTCTTAGCATGACATAACTATGAGAGCGGCGGCTACGGCTACGATACGAGAGAAAAAAAGAACAAGTCCACCCGCAGTGGCGACGAAAATGACCGGGCTCGTCCAAACCCAGCGGTGTACAGTCCGCATGAAGCCGCGCGGCCCGGCCCGGGCGCCGCGTCGAGTTGAGTGAGCCCACGACGGGCGCCACGACCTTCATGGTGGCCTCTCTGGCACACCGCGCTGCACCGCGCCCTCGCACCCTCTGGATGCCAAAAGCTCGATCGGCATCGCTCATAGAAGCGCGTGCGACTGTCTCTGGGCGTCAGCTGCATCCGGACACCCTCTTCGCTCGCTCACTATGGCCTCCCTCCCGCGGGACGTGCGTTGGCGTTGTGGTCTTCCCTGCCGGCTGGGGCCGCGGCAACACACACGAGGACTGGTGGCGGTGTGGGAGGTGCTCGTCGCCGACCCTTGGTGGGCCCGCTGACGCCCTGGGCACGCGTCGGTGCACAAGCTCACGGAAACACGGGTATGCTGTTGGTGGGCGGGACAGAATGCCCTGGCGGTGCCGTACGGGCGGCGCGTGCAAGCAGTGCAAGTGCAAGGGCCCGCGCCCACGCACGCGCCGCGCGCACGTGCAGCGGCACGAGCACGGGGTGCCTCGCGGCCGCACGCGATTGTGACGGCTGTGCTCGGCCGTGGTGAGGTCTGAGGCCGGCGTACGTCGCACATATCGCGGACGTGTCGGCGCCGTGGGAATTACACCTGAAGCAAAGCAATTCCCTGCCGACACGATCTTAATGAGCTTTTTCTACAGAAAGTAAGAGATGAAAATGTCGAGTCAGCATACCAGCGGGCTTTCGTGGGGTAGTCAGAAAGGCTGGGGACCCCGCTCGAGGAACATGGCCGTCTCCGTTTGGCCAAGGCCTTCCCCCGCAGATATCCCCAGGTCGCTCAGGTTGAGGTTGGAGAAGTTGAACGAGCTGCGTCTTCTTTCGTGCCCCGCAGGATGCATCCCCCAGCGCTACGTGCTGGCCATCATGGGCTTCCTGTGCCTCGTCAACATGTTCACGATCCGGGTGTCGCTTAACGTGGCCATCACGGAGATGGTCCTGGAAGGCAACGCCAGCGCCCATGGCGGCACCGAGTTCGTGGACCCCGACGCCTGCGCGGAGCCGGAGGCGGCCAACGCGAGCGTTCGTCACGTGACCACCGTACCGGTAAGTAAAACGCGTACAACGCCAACGCCAAGGGCTCACGACCTAGGCACTATACTCGAACTCGTTCTCATCGCATTTCCTTCCGCAGGAGGACGACCGGTTCGAGTGGGACGAGGTGATGCAGGGTGTGCTGCTCTCCTCGTTCTACTGGGGGTACACGCTGACGCAGATTCCTGGTGGGCTGCTGGCCGACCGCTTCGGCGGGAAGCACACCCTCACGGCCGGCATGGTGATCTCCATCTTGTCGACCGCGGCCGCGCCGCTGGCCGTTAGGCTGGGTGGCTGGGGAGGGATGCTCGCGTCCCGGGTCGTTTGTGGCCTCGGCCAGGGCGTCATGTTCCCCGCCATCAACGTGCTGCTGGCGGCCTGGGTCCCCGCCGAGGAGCGCGGCAAGCTCGGCGCCCTGGTGCTGTCGGGCACTAACCTGGGCACGGTGGCGGGCACGGCCGTGTCCGGGACCCTCATCCACTTCCTGGCGTCCTGGGACGCGGTGTTCTACGCCTTCGCCGCCGTCGCCTCCGTGTGGACCGCGTGCTGGTGCGTGCTCTGCTACGACTCGCCCGCCGCCCACCCGTACATCTCCTCGAGCGAGAGCAAGTACCTCCAGGACAAGCTGAGCCACAAGCACGCCAAGGGCGGCGGGCCCATACCCTGGAAGGCCATCCTCACCTCGCTGCCGCTGTGGGGCCTGGTGGCCAAGACGGTGGGCCACGACTGGGGCCTCTTTACCATGATCGCCGACCTGCCAAAGTACATGAAGAGTGTCATGAAGTTCCGCATCCATGAGGTATGAACGGGAAATGGGGCCAAGGTTTAAAATTGTGGATTTAAAACGTCAAATTCACCCTCTGCATCTTCTCCCCTCCCCGCAGAATGGCTTCCTCTCCGCGCTGCCGTACCTCGCCATGTGGCTGTGCTCATTGATGTTCGGGTGCCTCGCTGACTGGCTCATCAAGACGGACCGCATGTCCATCACCAACACTCGCAAGCTGCTCACCACCATCTGTGAGTCCCGCGACTTCAGCCACACAGCTCACCCCCTCCAAATTTCTGATTTCTTTCTTCTTGTCACAGCGTCACTCGGTCCGGCTGCGGGGATCATTGGTGCATCGTACGCCGGCTGCGACCGCTACCTCGTCGTGTCCCTGTTCACCCTCGGCATGGCCTCCATGGGGGCGTACTACTCGGGCACTAGGATCAACGCCCTGGACCTCTCGCCCAACTACGCGGGCACCATCATGGCCTTGGTGAACGCCATCGGGGCGCTGTCTGGCATCGTCACGCCTTACATTGTCGGCCTCCTCATTCCCAACGTAAGTACGGACATCGGGGGAGATGTGACAGGACTCTATGACGTTTGCGATGACCTTAATAAACCCCCATCGAAAAATTTTTATGCCCCACTTCCAGAGTTCTATGCAGGAGTGGCGCCTCGTGTTCTGGATCACGGTGGTCGTGCTGATCGCCACCAACATGGTCTTCGTGGCGCTCGGCTCCGGGGAAGTCCAGCATTGGAACGAGCCGGCTCGCCAGCCGCGCCAGCGTTCCCCCAGCCAGCAGATCACACCTCATGAGGAAGAGGAGGCACCGACGCGACTGGAGAGTTTCCGGTACATCCCGGAGCAATAACACACGTTGACGGCGACTACTAATGATTTTACAAGACTGACCAGCCTGCAGTTTACAACGAGAACTGTGGGTTGAAACTTTAAGTCCGGTTTTCGGAACTAGTTTTAGGTTTTTAAGTATTCTGCTAAAATAAACAATCGTATTTTACATCCTTTTCTTAATTGCTTTAAATATAGATTCAAACTACCACTACTACCATCCAACAAATTATGTCAGTAACAGCAGTGGTTATACTGTTTATCACAAATGGTACAAATAAATTTATACTAGGGCAGATTAATGACGATTTTACTGGTCAAGAACAAAACACCAACAATTACAATCACTACTGCTGAATTGCTGTTTTTAATATAAAATTCTCTTCTGAGTTTCAGAACAAGAAGCACTGCTTTAAGGTGGTACAAAATAGTTCTTTACACAGGCTTTCTCAACTGAAATAAATAGTTTCTAATTACATTCATCATAACTCCAACATTTATCAGTCAAAAATAATTTTCTAAATTTCATATACAATAAATATAAACCAAACTATAGAGATAAGAACGTTTATTTACAAAGAAATGCAACAAAATGTCTTTAGTACTTTCTGTTTAAAAGGGTTTTATTCTGACTGAACTGATGATCAATTTGATTTAATGGATTACATAACAAATGGTGCTCAGTGCTTCAATTAGGTGGTTGCAGCTAGCCAAAAAAGCGGAGATTCCCTTAAAGACACTGCTGTTCATTACTTGCAACTTGAAATTCAACCAAAATTTAACATGAAACATTTTTAAATCTTGAAAATAAAATCAAAAAGAATTATGTTTCTGTACTACTATTACATTAACAATTTCCATGCGAGCTCAAGTAACCCAAATACTGCTTTAATTTGAAAGGAAAAGAATTCTTAATGAGCACTCTACAATCATATTCAAAATAATATTTAATGATCCTACAAGGTTGTCTTATTGAATTTTATCACAAAAAACATTTTTTATGTATGAACCACCACGTCCAAATTTCTCTGGCCAAATATGCTGCTGGGCATAAATAGACAATATAATTAATAGAGAGCTTTTAGAACAAGTGCATGGATATCTCCAAGCAGTGTTAACAAGACATATATTCCCAAGGGAAGACTACAAAATTTATTGTATAATGAATAAAAAAAAGCAACAACATATTAAGCTGCAACACTTGCATCAGTCAGAAAGAAAGCTGTAACAAAGAGTCACAGCTCTGATTTACAAAAATATTGTAATATAAAGCAAATTATAAACGTCTCACAACAGTGTCTGTTCGGCCGATTCTCTGCACACACAATTTCATCCAAATTTCATAATAAAATAAAAATTTAAAAAGCTGCTCTAGCGGAAGAGTCTGGTAAAATCTTTGAGACAATATGTCACTTGTTTGGTTCCTTCAGCCCTGAAAAGTAAGTAAAACACATATAATCAGACACTTTCTTCACAATTTAATTTAAATATTGGTTTTCAACTAATAGTTCATACTTCATAATAGTTGCATGGAAGTCAACTATTTGCTGGCTTGTTGCTGTCAGGTGGTGACCTTGCGCATTGGTGTTTAGTTCTTCCAAAGCTTGTTGAAGCCAACTATTCATGGACTGCAAAAGAAAAAGAGTATTAATATGCTTTACACAAGCAAAAGTTATCAAAAATGTTCTGGATCTCCAACTTACATCACCGTCAGTTTGAATCAGCTCAACAATAACATCAGCTACATCAGAAAGCATGTATGAGTGTAAATAAAACACAGATGCATGGAGTAGTCTGGCTGTCAATATCTGTCCATTCTCGCGAACTTTTGCTAACACCAAACTTTGTCGTGTAGCAAAATCTTCTTTTGACTGGTAAGATAACAAAAGTGGCAATTTAGGAAGTGAATAACATTAGACAAGGGCTGCAGCGAGTAAAACAAAATAAAATCCAATAAATGGCACAAAAAAAGAAAAAAATTGTACAAACCTCATTATTTCGGCCACAATGGATCAGGTCGTAAAAGAATTTCATTACTGAAGCATTGGCATAACGATGATCTAAAGTTACAGCCAGAAGAGCGCAACTAATGATCCCTTGTAAAGAATTGCACTGAAGGAATGGAACAGGAGCACGTTGTAAAAATCTGAAAACCACAATTTCTTTTTAAGAATGTTGCAATGATAAGATGCACAAGTTTTTTATGGAGAAAAGTCACTTAACATACCTAGCGCAGAGACGGAAAAGATCATCCACTGTATCAGGGTGATCTCTTAAACCCTTTTCCCATCCACCTTCTTGCAGAATTGTGAATGTAGGACCAATAAATGCTTCAAGCATTTCAAGTAGCCCAACAACACAACCAGACTCACTAGCATATTCATCAACCAAAATAGAACCTAAATAAAGGCAGCAGCTGTGCTGATGTTGAACATATAAAGACACCATTTGTTTGACTAAGGGTTCCAGGAGGTGAGCAGCCTGCTTGCCAACGCATCTGACAGCATATCTAAGGCATCGGCAAACACGTTCCATAACTCTAGAATCTTCTTGGTACTTATCACATGTTTTGGAAAGAACAGGCCAGACCTGTTGATGAACAGAAGAGTGTTTAAACTTGAGTACAGTGAAAAGAAATGGAATAACTCTTATACAATGCACTAAAACTTTTGGATTTCATACCTCTGTTAGAACATCTCGACACGGGTGTACAGTTCCATTTTGCACAGATGGGCTTGTGTTTCTGAATATGACAGCTAGTCTATCTAACCAATAAACTGGGTCTGTTCTTGTGGCCTTTTGAACCTTGACATCACTCTGAAATATAATGAAAAAGTGAAAGAAGTAGTAAGAAATGCCTATAAGCGCTCAAGTGAAAAAGGTTTCTTTTCAATGCCTTCAAATAAATGACGACACACACCTCAAGGAGCTCGCACAATGGTTGAACCTGAAGGAAACAAATTTCTTTCATACGTGGAGTAATTTGGTCTGTTGGTAATCTGCCTAAAATTACTGCTACACCTAAAAATAGAAATGAATCTTGTAAATTTATGGACAAGACAAAGGCAACCAATCAACATTCAACATGTAATATTCATTACCTTTTAGTAGACCAATAGCTGCTTGATTTGACATGTTAAATGTATCTAGACTTTGGACTATTTGTATAAGACCGTTGAAATGGACTCCCATATGCTCACAGCAAGCAGAACAGATTGCCTGCAAAGCTACAGCTGCAGCACTAGCCAGAGGAGGTCTTTGAAGACAGTACAGCAAAAAATTAAGCACAGGTTCTGCAAGGTAGAAAGGTAATAATGTGAGCAAAATAAAAAGATTAGATTAGATCAAAATTTACAGTTTACAAAAAGGACAGATAAAAACAACTCTTGTCACTTATAAGAATGGACAAAAACTTACCAAGGGACTGTGGATGATATTCAATCCATTCACAGAGTTCTCCTAAGAGAAGAAGAGACGTGTGCCTAACAGCCAAATGAGTATTCTCAGGGAGATTCAAAATAGCCTCAACAACTTTTGGCACAACATCATTTTCCTCTCTGGAAATAAGCAAACCTGAATTAGAAAAATCAGCAAGAGAAAGGACATTTTTTGTTTTTTTTGTTTTTTTAAATTAGTCAAGTACTTACGGTAAAATATTTTTGGCAACAGACTGCATCACAAAAAGAGCTGCTTCACTAGCATCCCATGTAACACCTGGTACTTGCAAGTTAATAAACATTTGGCGGAAGCAATTAGATGAACCAACAATAAAGACAACATCTTTAATTAGTTCCGAGACCTTTATTCTGAAGTCTTGAAAATCATCTCCTTCATCTAGGAGGCCGTCCTTAATGATGAGAGAAAGGAATTATTAGGAGCAAAACATTAAGATGGCCTTATGGTGAAACAGGCTCTGGTTTAATTTACAAAATACTCACATGATCTGGCTCCATTTGACAATGGTGACAAAGTGCTGCTATTAACCTTTCCACATATGGTTTGAATACAACTGTTAGTGTATCTAAGTTTTTCACATACAACTCCTCAGAGAGTCGGTACCACAAGTTGAAAGTTATTTCAGCAACCTTAAAACAGTTAACACAGTATGAATGAAGAGGAAATATAATAACATAAACTATCTCATTTATTCATCATTCAAAAAGTACCTCGTAGTCATGGTGCCCTACACAAGTCAAAACTAGGTCAAGAATTTTCAGGGCAAAATGTGTTCTTGATGGTGTGCAGCCAGCAACCATTTTTTGTTTGAATGATTCAGCTAGCTCTGTGAATATTCTGCAGTAATTCATTGATCTTGAAAAAACAAAGACACAAATATAACAAGGTGGTTGTTGAAAGGGGCATAACATTAATAGAATTCAACATGTAAATTGGAAGGAAAAACATACTTTTCCTGATCCTCTGTTGCCACAGATTGGTGATATGCCTCCTCTAGTGACATTACACCTTGGAACAGATGTTGTTCTAGCTGTGGTTGGTCATTATTTTCTTCCAGGCACAGAAGGAGAGCACAAACACAGTCTGAGGCTGCCTCATGAAGACCTGATGGAGACTGAAGTGGGAAAAAAATAACATTGTAACGTAGGAAAAGAGTAAAAAATGGGATGCAAAACTATCATAAGGACCCACCGATGGATTACTAAGAATCTGAAATGCATGAACAACAACAATATTTTCCAAAACTTCTGAAAGTGTGATGGCTTGAATCGACACCCAGGAGGAAAAACACCGAAGAATACGGATATGAATTTGAGGGTTCTCACCTCCATTTGTCAAACATGCTTTCTGCAATAAAAACATAATATTTTCAAACCAGTAAAAAGATTAACTTAGAGAACATAGCCAGAATGGTCACTAAAATACAAACCAGAAATTGGAGGACAGCAGGGGACGAATTTTGGAAATCATTCAGAATTTCTTGCCTTCGGTTGGAACCAAGACGAAGTGTCCGAGAGTTTACTTCTTCTGGCAAAACAGTCAGAGTTTCTAACAAAGGCCATAAATTATGTTGAAAATGATTGATAAGGTACGATACTGGAGCAGTCCATGTTGACATTTGGAGAGCCAGATCAGCAAGAGCTAAGCACAACTGAAACATAAGCATAAACCTGATTTAAGGCACTGAAAAAACCTAAAAATACATTGAACTAAAGTAAGCCAGAAAGCATTTATACCTGTGTTACTATAACAGTGTTGGTAGTGTCTGTAACTTGTCTGATATGCGAAATAAGAGAATCTCGTAAACTTTCATGAACATCAACAGGTAACTCATGGAAAGATAATTGAATTTTGGTGCGCATAGTTTGCGCTGCAAAGTAACATGATTCCAAATCGTGTTGTTGTTGGAGAAGCTCGTTGGAGATATTCCATGCTGATACCTACACAAAATACATTAATAATTAATGGACAACATAGTACACAACACCAAAACAGAGAAGAAACACTACTCATATTTGAAAAAATGTAGTTTTGACAAAGAATAACATATTTCAGAGACTGCAAACACAACTAAACCAACAAATTGGCCGTAGAGAAAGGTATAGAATGTACAACAAATTGATGACAGGTAAGGTATGACAGACCAAAACTAACATATTAACAAACAATAATTGATATTACAAAAAGCTTGTTTAGTAGGTTGAACACCACAATTCTACCAAATACCCATATTCGTCCTAACCTCAATTAACAGATTCCTTGTGAAGTTTGATAACACTTCAGTGGTATAACAAGCTGAGTGACAGCTACGGCAGAGGTTAAGCAACGAGAAAACTTTCTTTCACACAAGTTGTCATTGTATTTTGTAGGAAAGTATTTCTACGACCAGCTTTAAAAGGCTAATCGTGAACATAAGCCTACGGTAATAACCAAACTCAAAATGCGTACCGATTTTTGGAGTTCGCCAAGCCATTGCGACGCTTTCTCTTTTTCTGCTGGATCCGGGTTGTGGTAAAGCGTATAGACAGCTTGATAAACTGTCTCTAGAGATGGAGACGAATCCATGTTCTTGTAAATTTGATATTTATAACATGTAAAAAAACTGAATCTTTCGGCCCGACAACAAAAATCCAAAACGTTGACTGCGTTGATTACCTCTTTCCCGGCCACGCTAACCAACAGTCAAGCACTGAAATTAAATCTAATTTGTTACAACAAAGGACCACTTTTGTATTCAGTCGCTCCTAGTACATTCAAAGCAGAACTAAGCCACAATTATGAGATCTTGCATGCACTCAGTGTAACAATAGAAGGGGTGATGAATAAAAATATTGCTGAATGTTCACAGCTGACGAGTGGCTGCTATTGTTTACTTATCGTTTCGCAACTGTTTCTTTTCTTGAATCGTTCCGCGGTAACGGCGAAGTGCTGGCTATTCTAAGTCTACTTAGTTATCACAATCTACATAGCCAAAAGAATAAAAGACGATACTTTGTAACTTATATGATCTGAAACAACATCGAGAAGAAGATCTACAAGGGTAGAGTTACGTTTCAAATTAACTGCCAGCATGATATGTCCATATGAGCGTGGTCATGGGGGTAGGGTGCTTTGGACTTAGTAATGAACCTTCCTCGGCGTTAGTGTAGTACCAAATTTTGAACACTCGAATTTTTGGGTTTGCTGAAGCCATTTCCGGTGTTTGTTTGCACGTCCAGAGTCATCACTAGACGACATACGCTAGTGCGGATACCGCGGGATGGCGGGAATGGCCTCAGCTTACCCGACACGCGTCTTTGGCAATGAGGTCCCCGATGACGATGGAAACGGACAACGAAAACTGCCACGGCATACCCCAAAAACCTCGAGTTCAAAATCGGTACGGTCTACGGTAGTACAGCAGTAAAAAAAAACAAAAAAAAAAACATCCGCGTCCGTCCGTCGTCCCGTCCGTGCCCCTCGTTTCGGCCACGGGCTTTACACGGCTGCTTATTGCTGCTTATTAGCTACAGTTGATATTATTGGCCCTGTATTAGGG